CAGGAAGTGTGAGGTACTGTGTCAGTTTTATCCAGAATGCAAGTTAGGTCTGCAGCATCTAAAATGGTAATAATCATTGTCATCATCCAGGAAGCAACACAACTGACATTTAAACGACTTTGATGCTTAAGCCTGAGGGAAAAAAACATGGAGTTTCAGAAGGGGTACGGATGCTACTCTGTAAAATAGAGATTTTGAGACTTATAGGCCTTAATCCCAGAGAAAAAGAAAATGCAAATACTTCCCAGGACTTTTGTTCCTCCAGAACAACAACAAAAACAAAAAATAATAATGTTATTGAAGATGCAGTCTCGGAATGGTAGGAAACCTTAACAGCCACAATACATTTTGGCTACAAAACAGATTGTCTCCACAGCAGTATAGGATTTAAAGCAAGCACATTTCATCAGTGGATTTAGCATGATGAATCAGGTAAATTGGAGGCTGAATCACCACTGTATCCCCAGGCATCCGCAGAGAAATAGAGAGGGAAGGGAAATAAAAAATAAGAGAGAAGCATCTAGAGGATGCTCAGAAAATCACAGGTACAGACAATACTGAGTGGGGAAAAAAATCACACTGGAATATGGAATGTTTGCATCTTTTTTTTTTTTTTTTTAAATGATAGGGAACATTCATGAGTTATAAAGAGTCAAGCGGCTTCTGAGCCTTTCATAGCAGAGGCTAAACCCCACAGGAATCAGACCACCACAAAGCAGACCCAGGAAAAAGAAAAAAAAAAAAAAGAAAAAAAAAAGACAAAACAGAAAAATGGAGAGAGCAAGGAAATCTCTTTCCTCTAGAAAAGGCATTAGACGCTGCAGGGACCTGAAAGCACACCCAGTCCTTGGGAGGACTTGTGTTTTTGGCAACAGAGACACCAAAACCCCACGCTGCGCTAAGTGAAGCTGTGTGATTATCCAACCAAGGGTTTCCAGGTGTCGTCCTTGTAAACGTTCTTAATCCAGTTGCTTTGGATGTAATGCTGAACCCATCCTGAGCATTATGTCAGAAGTGACTGCTGGCATCCAGGCAGCCTGTGGATAAACACCAGCTGGCTGTCAGGTATTAAACCCTTCTTGCTGTCGTATCCACGTGGATGCAACCTCCCTCTGTATCAGCACAGACAACTGTGCACCTGCACACCCAAATTTGAAGTCCACTCAGGGTTACAAGAAGTGTCTGTCTCCAGGGAGCTGCCCATCACCCACCTGTTGTCCATCCACACGGCTGCTCTGAACAAGCCTCAGGTATTGTACAGCTTTTGTTCTGTCTTGATTTTATTTTCCTGCTTCGTCACCCAAACAGACCAGGAGAAGATCAGAGGACCAGGGAAGCTTTCTTCTGCTGCTGGCTGATCAAAGTTAGCACGGTGCTACCTGCAAGCCAGCATCGCTCCCAGCCTTTTAACCTCTGCCAGAGGTTAACCTCTATCAGAAGAGGCACCAGGAAAGGTCCCAGACCCTGCTCTGTGCTCGGGGAACCCGCACGGCAGGGCCTTTTCCTCCCATCCAAGCAGAACCCAGCTGCTGGATGAGCGATGGTAACACCTAGCATAGAGGCTGGTTGCTTTCCTCCAGTAAACTTCAGAAATGGCTTTCAAGCAACAACGTGTGCTGCACATTTTACACAGTACGAGGGTCAAATGGAAGAGCTGGGTGTCAGCACAGCCCCCGGTCGGTCTCATTGCAGTTCTGACTCACTTATGGAGTGCCTTGATTTTAACTTCAGTCGTTTCAAATACTTGCCATTGGAATTCATCGTCTGCAGTTCAGATCTGCATGTCATCATTTCATTGATTTTTTTTCCGCCCAGAATAGAGCACACAGGACTTCCAAGGACCTTCTTTGGGAAGGACTAGAGGCACTGCCTTGCAATCCACAGGCAGTCACATTTACCTGTGCCCGTCCCCTGGGAGAAAATAGAGCTTCAAAAGTGCCGGGCAGTAATTTCACAGATCCCACAGTCAAAGCCCAGCTGCCGCCTGGCTTAAAACACACAAAACGCGAGTTTGTGGCATTTGCATAACAGAGGGGAAGCAGGGAGAAAACTTGCTCAGATCCCGTGTGTTTGAACGCGGGCTTCAGTGCGGCTCCCTGAAAACGTGATCTGAGGCTGGAGCCTCGCTGAGAAAGCAAAACCAGAGAGAGCCCCAGGAGAGCCAGAGCCATCCTCAGCATGGGCACGGGGCAAACAGGACCAGCTGCAGGGGGGATAAAGCCCCCAGCACCCGTGGAGGTCCTGGTGAGGCAGCACACACATGGGCACGTTGGTTTAATGCTTCCCCAAGAAGGCTTTCAGCCTTCAACCAAACAGCAGCTCATTAGCCATAGGTCATAACCACGCGGCATTTAGCTTCGGATTAAATATCACTCTCTCTCTCGGTGGGAAGCCGTGGCATTAACATATGTCTTGTCGTGTATTTTACCTTCCTGCTACATCTGATTAATTAAACCTCTTCCTGAAGTCTTTCCTTAGACTTGATGTGAAGTGAAAATCCATCTCAGCGGGCAGAGGACAAGCCTCAGGAGAGAGACGGCAGCAGGAAAAACATTTCCTCCTTTTCCCCAGAGCTCCGTCCTTGCTTTACTTGGGCTGCAGGGAAACCCAGGGAAAGATTTTCTCCTGGTTGAACACACCTTTCATTCTCCTACGGACCTCACTGATGACAAAGTGAGTCCCTAAATTTGCAGGTTTCTCTGCTTCCCGTATTTGCCACTTCTTTTTGCATTTTACAATAAATATCATTCAGCTTGCTGACAGAATATTTCAAAGGTCTTAAGTAAAACAAAATAATTTATCATCCTGCTAACACGGAAACATTAAAGCTCTCTCCTGTTATGTTGAAAGCATTTTGACTAATATTTCCATGCTAGAAGTGCTGATTTTTCTCCTAGGAAGTTAGCAACACTATGGGTGCAGTTGATGCCCACACACAACACACTAATTGTCATCTTTATCAAGCTCCAGCCTCAGATTTTGAGGTGCAATAGCTTCTCTTTGAAAACCTGTTGAGTGACACCAATTCATTCATTATCATTGTACCTATAGAATCAGATTTGTATGTTCAGCAATGGCTGAAAGGAGTTCTCTTGAGCAGAGATAAATACTCCACAGGTTATCCAAAAGCACTTTGAGCTAGAGATGTTCACCTTCATGTGAGAGTGGTAAATGCAGGCAGCAAGGTCAAACTATACCATTCTTTTCAAAAAAAAAAGAAGAAAAAAAGCATTTCAAGCAAAAAGCAAAGCAAGGTCAGGAAGCCTGCAAACAGCCACCAGCTGCTCCTAAAGCCACCCAGCTCAGCTCACACAGATCCAGGCACAACCTGCTGCCACGTCCATCGCTCACGGAGGGTACAGAGGCTCTGCCAGCCCTTCAGGGAGGGTGCTCCTCGTGACATGCCCTGGGGACAGCCTGCCACAAGTTCGCTGCTTAATACATGCTGCTCTCCTCCTGACTGCAAAACGCTGCTGTAGAGATTCTGTGTCTGGGGAGAACAAAAATCAACAAAAAACATACACATGAAAGTGGAAAAGAAACAGAAAGTGGAATGAAACTAGAGTATACAATATTTATTATCTGCTAATATTGCTGTTATTAATATGTAACTATATTCTTATATAGTAATATTAATATATTACTATTAATTACTATTATTATTACTATTATTAAAATATTAATATATAAAAATATTTTTATATATTATATATTCATATATATATATATGAATGCCTACACTAACATGTATCACTGCACAAGCAAGGAGGCAGAATTGGCAGCTGGCACAAAATTCAAAAAAATATCAGCCAAAATATTGAACAACAACTCTTCCACCATAAAAGCTGTGTGGCAGCTCGCACACCCTCACAGCACCTTCCCCTTCATTTCTGCTCTACGAGACACGTGGTGCAAGCCCTGCTTACCCCTAGAAGACGCGAGGCTGCCAGCAGTGCTGTTGCATCCCCCAGCAACGTTTTAAAAACTCCTCTCTGGGCACGGTTCAGCGTGTGTGTGTGTCAGTCCTCATGCATGGATGTAATTTAAGGCCAGGTGCCCCTGTGGTGGGTTTTAGAGGCAAACCCCAAGCACAGTGCCCTGCCCGTGGATGTCCGGGATTTCACAGAGAAGAGCTTTATGGAAACCAAGGCTTTGTGGATTTTGTGAGGGGGCTTATTACTCCAGTAAACTGTCAAATGCAGGAGTATCACAGAGATAAAAGTGATTCCTAGGTTGTCAGAAAGTTCTTTCAGGGTTTTCGAAATGGCCTTTGAAGGAGCCAAGAGGTGTTCATGGCTGAGCAGAGGAGGTACGAGGGGATTTTCTCCCCAGTAATTCACTGCAGCTACTTATCAGGCACAAAACAATACTGAAATTCATAAAAGTAAGAGGCTGTATTTGATACCAAGCCTACCACAAAACCCAAGTGCTCTCTAGACTCCAAAACCATCTGACACCATTAAAGTTTTCTCCTTTAATTCTGACTACGAACAGTCCTGGAAGGTCTCTGATTACATTAGCGGCTCCCGTCTATCACTTAAACACAGAGCCACTCTTTATCATCTCTGTGATCAGAGAGTAAATGAGCCTGACAAAACAACTTTATTTTTGATGTCTTCCTAATCTTTCTGTTATTACTGCGTTCTGGTTTTGGCAATAGTGCTGTGATTTACAAGTTATTACTCTGCTTAGTGAACGTTACCCTGTGCAGCAACCACCACCACTGACTGTCCGCAGTGGTGCACGCATATAACGGGTACAACTTTAGGAAGATTTGTGTTTTTCAGACAAATGCTGCCGCTCAGAACCAGGCTGTTCCTCTGTCGGGCTCAGCAGGGCAGTGACAGCTTGGGAGCAGCACCGCAGCGCCCACAGATGCTCCAGCGCCGCACCAGCGCCCGTTTCACACCGATTCCCTGCTGCTGCTCTCTCTGCTGCCCCTCCACAGCTTGTGACCGACAACAGGGGAATGACAGAGCCAGGCTGGGTGCTGACCCAGCTCGGGGAGTGCTGGCCAGGCCATCCTCAGCCCCTCCAGGCCACCAGGGCTTCACTGCACCATCACTTCTCACACCGCTGTCTCCACTGCCGAAGCCGATGCCACAGCCCGGCCACAAGAAGGGTGGGCTTGGTTTCACTGCAGCATGCCACCACCATCACCGCTCCACCAGGTGACATAAAAAAACGTAGTTGCCCTTTTATAAGCCATCTCATTTTCCATCTCACAGTCCATAAACAAAACTGTTGCATCCAGCCCGTGTTAATTTTCACTTCAAGGGAAGATGTCCTGCAGGGGGAGGAAAGGTTTTTGGGGCAGGACCTTTCTGGGGGTCACAGTACAATTGTGTAACACTGAGAACTGAGAAGCTTTTAACTTTTTTTAAGGACTTTTTAAAATGTCCTTCCCATCCCCAAAGCCATCAAACTCTACACTCTCTAAACTATCTTTACCAAACACTGTCAGTTTGCCTGCGTTTATTCATTACATACAGGCAAGGCAGAGCCCATTTTTCATTTTTTTTTCACAACAGGAAGACTTTTAGACAACCACTGAGCCTGACACCCCAGGAAGCACTGCCAGTGCAGTGCAGAGAGATCCTCAGCTCTCATATACCCGTCCCATGGGAACCCCCCTTGCTGCCATCAGCAGCGAATGGCCAGGAATCAGCAGCAGCTCCGGCACTCCATGGCCCAAAAAAAAAAAACAGCTGCTGCTGGGTCTCTTCCAGAAGAAAGACGAAGTGCTGGCTGACGAGCAGGAAGCTCCCCAGCTCTTTATAATGCCCTTTGATGCGCTGAGATGTAGCAGATTACTTCGCAGTCAAAAGATTTGGGGCCATGAGACAGCTCTGGAGCATTAGCGCTATGAAAGCACAGCAGCTTCTCCAGCTTAAACAGTGGGTTAAAGAGAGCTCCCCCCCTTCTCTGCTTTCCTACTGACTTCCAAGCATGCTTTTTGCTTCTACATGCCAGTTCCTGCTCAAAGAGCTTATCTCGACCCAGGAAAGCTGTTCCCTGAGCTCATCCTCCATCTTTCCCGGAGAGCAATTTTTTTTTTAACTCGCATCTCTGATTTACTCTGTATCCCCTTTAAGACCAGTTGTGCTTCATGCAATGATGTCTGAATTTAAATGATCGCTTATCTCACCTCACACAATCTATAGAGATAACTCATTTTAAAAGCCCACTATTTTCATAGCGCTCTCCAAAGCAGAGTGGCTTCTTTAGACAGAAATAAAATTATCGCCATAACTTTTTGTAGTGTCACTGAAGTTTCTGGACCTTTTCTTTTTTTTTTCAGGTCCAAATAAAAAAAGAAAAAAAGAAAAATGCTGCTGTGGTGCTAAAGCAGATTTCTTATGTGATGCTTTTAGTAGCGAGATTAATGTAGGTGCTCATAGAGTTTAGCTGCTAGTCTGAAAGCCGAGATTAATTACTCCTCTAAAGTAACCGTGTGTAAGAAGTCCATCAGCATCAATACTCCAACAGCAGCAGCCCTTCGGTGGGAAGGCACTAAGAGATTTTTCTGGATGTTCTCTCTTTTACAGCTTAAGTAGGTGCAAACTCTAGGAGTTATGTAGATTTATGACGTATTTTGCTGCAGAGCACACCGTGCAGGGTAAGTCGGCCCCGAGGAATCAGTAGCCTTCCCCCGCTATCTGCACAGTGGGAAGAGCCACCGCTGCGAATGTGCCGTGTGACAGTTTATTAAAAATAAATCTCACACCTGGAGGAGGAATATGGAGCGCTATTATCACATCACGCAAACAATTTTCAAAATTTTCTGTCAACAATGTCAATTCTAATGACACTGTAGAAGCTGAGGAGCAGCAAAGAGCAAAGTGTCGGGCTCGTTCTCATTAAAAAAAAAAGAAGAAAAGGCAAGTCTCTGGAGGGTAACGCAAGGCCTGAATCCTGTGTCACATCTGCAGATCTGTGGCTGATCCAGTATCGGTGACACACAGCCCACAGACAGCTCTCCCCGGGGGCAGCAGGGCTGGGGTAAGCCCTGGTGCTCCCGTGCACCAGCACCCTGCTGGGAGCACACTGGTGCCCACCCAGGGTGGGGGTTTTGGGGCTCTGACCCAAGGAAGAGGATCAGTGGATGCAGGAGCACACGAACACCCCTTGCAGCCCGTCCTGCTCCCACCGTGCGGCTGTCCTTGAGAGGACACGGCGTCGGCAGAAGGTACAGCCAGGAAAACGAATTAGCACAGTGGGCTGAAAAAAAAAATCAATTAATTGTTACAGGAGGGGAATAAGAATAGAAGAACAACCAATCCCCTGCATTTTCAAGGAACTTGAGCACTCACAGTCCATGGCGTGACCCAACTGCTCTTCAACACATCTAAGGATGAGGGACAGATATTCCTCCACTGGGCACCTCCACCAAAACACAAGCTTCGAGGTGGAAACCCTGCATGTGGAATGCATGCAGGAGCCTCTGGTCCCATGTCCCAGTGAGCAGGGCCACCGTGGGCACGTCCCAGGTGTGGGTGCCACCGGGGCACCCCACGGGCCGGCCTGGCAGGGGCTGTGAGAGGCTGCGTGGCAAAAGGGAGCTTGAACTAGACTGCTCTTGCTGGAAAGAGACTGACATTTTCCGTAAGTGCTCCTAAAATTCAGAATTTGCCCTGGAAATCAGAGCCCTTTATAGAAAAAGTAAGCAGAAAAAAAAATAAGAATAGGTTTTCATGGATAGGGAAGCAACCTTGTTATTGCAGACTACAATAACGTAGAGGTTTCTATCAAAACCTTCTCTAAGGGAGATAAATCTCCCATTAAACCACCCATACAGTCTCAGAACGCCTACATTTTAAAATTGCCCTGGAGGTCAGAGGCACACACAATTATCTCTGCACCTTACTCTCTCTTATGAACTTTTATATCAAAAAGGAGTCGTTATTTCATTCAGGGTTAGTCTGGCTTCAAGAAAGACACAGAGTTTCAGCAGAAAAGGTCTTACAATAGAAACTTTGAGAGATGGGGTGGGTCTGGGTTTCTGACAGCAATATAAAGGTTACACTTAAATTTTTTTAATGTGGCTCCTGCTATAGTTTTATATCCATCACAAAATGCATGTATGAGAAATACTATTTCTATTTGTGCTAGTTGGATAGGTTTAAATACATCTTGATTTCACACTCATTTATAAGAAGCCACGTTAGACCCAGGAGATGCCTTCATCCCTCTGCATACGCAGCAAACCTTCAGAGACAAGAAACAATACTGAAGACTACAGATCAGGGTTGGTTTTGTTGTTTTGGTTTGGTTTTCCCCTAAGAGAGTTTAGTACAACAAATATTTGACTTTGCATTTTTGAAGATCATCCAAAATAATTAGTATTTAAAAGATCAGGAGCTAGCATTATGTATTGTTTTAAGCAATGTAAAGATGTAATTTTTAGAGTTACAGCAAGAATCTCCTTACATGCTCTACATTTCTGCTGATTTTACTTCCTTAGAACAGATACGGAGCAAAAAAATCTCTGACAGGAGTCCTAATACTTTAAGATCCAAGTTGTATTGACTCACAGCTCTGATGCTTTTGTTGAAATAACATGAATACAACAATCCTCTGATTTTCTCCTGTAATAGGAGCAGACAAAATCCACTTCTGATTCTGTAGCCTGTCATGCAAGTGTGCATAACTTGCATTTTCCCTTCATGCTTATAACAAGTTCTGTGATTTACAAGGAATGGTTGGAAAGATGATCATTTCTGCTGTCATCTCATTATTATTATTATTATTATTATTATTATACGCTCCTTGTTGCAAAGGTTCCTGATGAAGTACCACCATATCTTCTCCAAAACCATTACATTTGGATGACCCTAAAAAATGTGATAGCAACAAGGCTTCCTTAGAAGTACAGCAACATCCTTTTGTAGCCAAGGAAGCTCAGTTTATTCATTTATTTCTGTTCATTCATTTCTATGTATTTGTATACCCAATTTTCCAATCCTTCAGGGGAGGTCTGAATTCCAGCTTGCATCACCACAACAAGAGAGGCACGGTGCTGGCCAGCTTTGAAGAGGCCAGCTGGGTATCGGTAGCAGTCTGGGCAGGAAAACAGCAAACGAGACACGTTAATTTATGCTTTCAGAAGGAAAAAATTGCCTTGTGCAGATCTGCTGCAGTTAGACTGCCTCTAATATCCAATTATCACCATGTTTTGCTGAAGATTACTGGACAGAGTCTGGAGCTCTGATTTCTAATTCCCATTTTTCACTGAAGCCGTGTGCTGTCTTTCAAGCCTGACATTAGCAAGTTCGGAGCATCCCCAAGCGCCGCAGTGGGAAGGGAGCGAGCAAGCATTTCCTCTGACATGCAGTCCCCATTGTTTTGACCTGTAACTAAGATTTAAATATAAAAGACAACTGAACAAAGGAATTATTCATATAGCCTCTCTGATTCTTATTTCACTCAGCTGAAATTCTCTAAAAGGCTGGAGTTTTCCTCGTGTCACATTTGCAGCCGATAGCAATTAGGAATGCATGGCTAAAGTTGCACTTGCACAAGGAGCTCTTTTCCTCCTACCTCCCGCACTCTGTCCTCTGCTCGCTCATTAATTAGCGCAGCCTTAGTAATCAGGGTGAACATGACACCGCAGATGAGGGACAAGCCCAGTTCCTGCTCTCCACAAGAGACCGACAGGAGGTCAGTGCACAACACCAGGCAGAACAAAGCTCCCCGTTTGTCCAAGTCACCGTTCCCATCCCTTCACTGCATGCCCACTCCTCGAGCAACCCAAACAGCCCCAGAGCCCTGGCTCAGGGCACCCAGACACCACGGCCACGGGGCAGGATGAGGCCATCTGCAGCATCCCAAGGGAGCTGCTGCTGGCCGAGCAGAGCAGCCAGGGCTGGCAAGTGATGCCAGCTGCCCCCAGCTCCCACCTTTCAGGGACACCTCACAAAGATGCAGAGCAATGTTTGTTAGGATTATATTCTGGGGAATTGTCTCTCTTTTTGTTTACTCATGCTTTTTAAACTCAAAAAGCCTTTTGAAATTTTAATACGATTCTCTGTTAATCACTGTTAGTTTTTTTCCCCATCACCAGATAGAAACTTTTTTCTCTCTAGATAATGCCTTTCTAAGCTTTTTCCTTCCTGTTGGTGTTTTCCAGGATTAGTTTCTATGGCATTCATGGTGGCACAAGGGCAGCACAGCCTCCCACACCATGGGCCATGACGTGTGTGCCCCTCGCACCAGCCCACAGTGGCTCTCACCCCCCCATCTCCTTCCCTTCGCTTCTCCACCCCAGGTCTTTACCTACCTTCATCTTCCATGCCTCAGAGCTCCCGGCACCTATATGGAAACCCTCATCTCACACAGGTTTCTAAGCACACACACTTTAATGTAGCAGGAGCTCACGGTAACATCAGTTTTCCAGCAGTGCCCCATGGCAGGGAGCATCCCCAGCTGGTGAGCAGCGCAGCTGCCCCCAGTCCCCGTGCCTACAAGCTGCAGGCACTGCTGCTCAAAGGCAGAGGGTTACAAGGATTTTTGGCTAATTAACACCCCCCGGCCACACGTAGGGTGTTTGTGCCAGGGGACAGAGGTGTCCATCCCTTCCTACACATTCCATGCGTGAAAGCAGATGGCATGACAGCGCCCAAAGACATTGCAATTTAAATATTGTTCCATTATTAATTTATGCTTTCATGCCCGCAGCACCCCATGCCATCTCAATAAAAGTATTTTAGATAACAGGAAGCTCAGAATTTCCTCAACAGATCTCTAGTGATTCAGTCTCTTAATGCCAGCATTTGCTTCACACTTCTTACTTGGGTAAGTGTCATTTTGTCCAACACAGCACCTGCTGCCTTGTCAGATGGCCCTAAAATGGAAGAAGGAAGAAATATCACTTAAATGATAAAGTAATAAACTATAGCCTGTGCTGATTAGTTGTTGAGAGATTATATTTTTCAAATTTAGTAATGCTGAAAAAATATCTACATCAGCATTAGGAAAACAGCAAGCAGAACCACACCTGGGGAAAAAAAAAAAAAAAAATTACAAAAAGTTCATGATAAGCAACACCATACTGACTGTTATTTAAGCAATGGTTTGTGCTTTGATTTCTCTTTTCCCGTAAGCATAAAGACATGAACCAGTAAGAGGGAGCCTCAGCAGCACACTGAAAGCAGTGGGGTGTGGGAACGCCCCACGACATCCCCCCCCATCCGCAGTGCATTAAGCTCTGTTCATCACAGACTGAAAATCTCCGTCTTTGGTAAAATTCCGTGTTTGCATCCAGACTTGGTCCTGTCCCTGGAACCAGGCTCTGCATTTTCAGCCCAAACAAAGACTTGGCAAGTTCTCAGCTTCCCAAACCCTGCTACCCCAGCCCGTCCTCTGTGCCCATCACAGAACTGAAGGCTTCTCTTTCCGCAGCAATCAATACCGAACATTTCATCATTTCATCAGTGCGTAGGTGCTGGTGTTCCTTTTTTTGGTCTAAATCATTACCTCTGTACTTCCACAGCTCAGAAATAACAGGAACTCTATGCTGGTTTGGTGTTTGTCTTCGATTTCAAAATTACTTCTAAATTGTGACCTTGAATACCTAGATTTTGCCTAAAGCAAGGTTTTATGGCCATGTTATCAACTCCAGAAAATAAAACCCTCACATTATAAAATGTAACAGACCTTTAATTAACCATAATGATAGTTCTGGGTACCATTATCACACATTTTAGCTACAATAAAAAGCTTTTAAGAGAGCCGACAGTAAGTTCAGCCCGTATTTCTCTCTCCTTCCCCATGCCCAGGCGTACGGAAGGAGGCAAGCTCTCAGCTCCCTGCACAAAAAGGAAAATTCGGAAACATCTCAGACAGCTGAGCAGCTGGGCTCTGAGTGCTCCATTAGACTTGTTCCTACACCAGGGGCAATGAGGGGCAGCTCCAAGGCTGGCACTCCCGTGAGCCACGTGGCTTGAGGAAGGGCAGCCCCAGGTGAGCTCTCCTCCCCTCCACACCTTGGTTCTGTTTCCTCCTTAAGATTTTGCAGTAATTCCAGGCTTTATTTCATGTTCCTTGGGAGAAAAGGTTGGGTAACAAGTCACAGCTCACATCACCCTAGTTGCAGCAGACAAACCTCTTGAGAAACCCTTTTACTGGAAACTATCCCAACTTCCAAATGTCAGATTTCCACATAACCTGGGAGGAGGGAATTCCTTGCCACTGGCTTTCAGACTTTTCAGCTCCCAGGTTTGCAAGCCAGCCACAGAGCAGTTGGTTTCCCTCCTTCCTCTACAAGTCTCATCAGAGCACATCAGAAAGCAACAACCACGCAGCCAGGTTCCCACCTGAGAACACAGCACCCACCACACGCCGTGAAGGGTCTTCACTTCCCAAAAAAACAAAGGCTGGCTGGGGTTGGAAGGGGTCACTGGCCCAACCCCATTCCTTGGGTTGGAGGAAAATGGACAGAAAGTGGAAGAAATACCTTCAGAATACATCCTGCAGAGAATAACACTTTTATCCACTGACATTTAAGAATATCAAACCATTATTTCTTCTGATTTCAGCCAACTCCATCTCAGGGTGCTGGGTAGCATCCCATCCATACCCACCTGTGTTATTTTCCAGGCACAGCACGCAGTGTCATGGTGACCTTCAAAACAGGAAGCAAATCTAACAGTTTGCCCTCAAAGGCAAAGCATTTTCTGATTTTTTTTTACTCTATCATCATGATGGTTAGTCTGCACATTATAATTTGTATCAACATTTTTGCCAGTTGCAGTTACATGGCATGAAATGTATTTACATGCTGGTTTTACTGAAATTGCAGATCAGTCTCAGCTTTTAATTGGACGCAGTAAATTTAATGAATAAAAACTGAGAATCACAACAGCAATATCTAGCACACAAAACTCAGTGCGCTATGGAAAGAGGAAGCACTGGGAAGGACTCTGTTGATGAAAATTTAACTGTGTGCAGTTAGAGCAGCACAGGACAGAGGAAGATCCAGTAATGTAAAACAACCTTTTAGTTTTGTGTCTCATTATCTGCACTTAGGAGCCGGCCCTCAGCTGGTCCACAGCTCTGTGGAGTTATCCTGGGTGGCTGATAAGGACCCCAGGTTTGGGCTCCCTGCCCCATGGACCTGCTCGCCCTGCTGCATGGCTCTGGGGGCTGCATTTTGCTGAGGCCATCCTCCAGGCATTGGTACTAGTGCAGGGTTTAAAACAAACATTTAATGGCCAAGCCCATTAAATCTATTTTTGGTTCTATTTGAGTTCTTAAGTTAGTTTGTCCCACTGGTGAGAAATCTTCCCAAAGAAATAATCTAAAATGAACGAGGGAGAGGGAAGAAAGCCAAGAAGTCATCTGGTCCTCTCTGTCCCACACTTCCCTGAATCCTCCATCACAGGAGGAGGCACATGGGACTCTTCTTACAGGTTTTTCCATACAGATTTTCTCCAAGATTTCTACAGTCCTAAAATATAGTCAAATCTTTCAGTAAATGAATTCTAGCTGACAATGCTTTAACTTCTACTAAAAGTTGCTACAGAAGTCACACTGACTTTAAAAAGCATATCTTGTCCTTGTATCTGCACTTCTGTGATTTTTGTGTTAAATAACACAAAAATCTTGCCTCTGATTAAAAAAAAAAAAAAGCTAGAAACTGCTTGTTCTCAGTGATATTAGAGATGTCTTTCACACCCTTATGGTTTATTTTTTTTAATAGAAAGGAAATATTCTGGCTTAGAAAACTGATGCATATCTTGCTCTGGTTTTCCTAAGCCACTCTATAGCAAGTAATACTGATTATTTATGTGCTTTCCCACTCAGCTGGACAAACAATCTACACAATATCCAGGTAGACAGTAGCTAGAAGGATTTTAGCCTGTACTGTTTTGGTGCTCCCCAAACGTAACAGCCCCATCCTGTGCCACGTAACAGCTTCACCGCAGTGCAGGACAGAGGTTGTGTTGTTACCCTGAGCCAGAGCTGCGTCGGAGCTAACCTCTCCGTAGCTATTATTGCTGTCATTAGAGTAAGCAACATCAGCAGTAATTTATTTTCTTCATCAACCGCTTCCCAAATAGAAAGAATGAAATTAGATTTTTAGCACTCCGAGATTGTTTCAGCGTCAACAAGGAGAAAACCCCTGCTAGTCTTGAAATCAATGTTTTCATTCTCTAGCAACCCCAGCATCTTAGTCGGGGGAAATAACAGAGGTGTTAATATAAAATACAGTACTTGACCAGAAGGAAAGCATTTCAATATTATGTAGAAAAGTCTCTCAAAGGGCACACTGTGATAAAATATATATATATGGTTAAAAATGAATTGTACTTTAATATGTTAACCAGAAACAGAAAAATCAATAACAGCAATACAAGTTTGCAACCAAGAGAAAAAGACATGGCTGGGTGAATGTTCAGAGTGCTCCACTTGCTGCTCAGAGTGCTTCGTTAGATATTTTTGTACGCTTGACTTAAATAGATATAAGATACAGGATTTCAAATGGACAGAAAGGACCCAGAGCTCTGATCAGCTCTGCTTAGCCCACGTATAGCTACACCACATTACTTTGGATAGTAAACGGTGTGCCAGATGAGAAGCACTTTTGTTTGTATCCTTTTTTAATTTATTTTGATGCCTCCTCATGTAAGCTTTTAAAAAACTGGACATGTTTTGATGTTGTGTTTTTTTCCTTTTTTTTTTAAAGCCAATTAAAGAATTCATAAATATTTCTGCTTTAAAGTCAGAATGTCAGTAAAGGCACTCGGCTTTCCTAGGGGTCACTTAAGGTATATCACTGCAAGTGGCACGCAGATTAATTGCCTTTCAACTTGTTGAGCCCTGCCACCCCAGGCAAAGAAATGTCTTCTCCTTGGGAACTATTGCCCATTCTCCTGCTTTCTCCAGCCCTCAGCTCGCTGGGTTCTCATTAGTGGTGCGCTCTCATATTCACCTCTCTGCGTTTCGTTGCCTTCCCCTACCCCTCGCTCTTTAACAGGGCTACTTGAGATGAACGCTGGCAGAGCAGCAGGATCTAAATTTGCCTTTGACTTTTGAACCCAGACTATAGTTAACACATTCCATCAGAAAACAGACATAGATTTTTCCTGATATCCAACACATCGTTATTTTTTAAACAGGCTGAGAGAGCGTTGTATGAAGTCAATTCTCCAAAGACGCCAACAGGAAAATAAAGGCGGTGTTACTTTTCCATGGGTTAGGCAGGGAAGAGCCAATTCCTTTGTGACAGAACGGAAGGCTGTTTCCAAACCTTGCAGAATATAAAGAATGAAGAAAATATTTCTTCTAATTGAATAGCACGAGTGCCAGGCAATAAGACAGCCCAAAATAAATTCCTGCTAGGGTAGGTCATCAATTCTGACTCCAGAGAAAGCCAAATACTTGGAGAAGCCGCATGAAAGGTGGAGCCAATTTTCTCGTAAATGGTCATAAAACCAGGCCTCAGAGGTAAAGAACCCCCCTGGAAACAATTATTCCATGGTGCTTGATTCCACAGAGAGGCACAGCAACACCTGCTAGCTGGAAAGGGCAGGTCAAGAAGGTGGAACAATCACGACTACGTTATTTGCTGAGTATCTTAGAAGTATGCAAGAGAGAGGGGTGGCAAATTAACAATACTTGTACTTCAAGGCAAGGCCATTGCTTCCTTACTCCCAGCATTTTCTATTACCTTAGTTTTCCTCGGCTAAAGTAAGTGTTCTCCAAAAGCACTAATAAGAGACACGGTAACTTTCTCTATGCTGCTGTCATCCACTTTCAAAAGCCTTGTTAAAGATTAAGCATTCTCCAACCATCTTTGCCTAGGAGCAAAAAGAGACTGTACTGATACTATCTTTGATAACT